CTCCTCCTAAAGGCCTTAGCGACGCCGTGCCACTCCAACCTACCTGTGGGTCAATACTGGTGGTAGACATAATTCATCAAGAGGGCCTCTTTAGGTTCAGCAAGAGTCTTGCAAAGAAAAAAGAAGCAACAGCGAGGGTGCTCGGCGTAACCCGAAGCCCGTGGGTTCCTCGCGGCTCCGTGCAGGGTGAACTGCGCTTTTTTTCAGCAAGTTCCACGACTTGATTTCGGCGATCCGGTCCTCTCGAGCGCACTAAAAGTCCAGCCTGAGGATGTTTCTGAGAGGGTCAGAGGCTCTGCGGTTTTGGGGTTTAATCCAATGTTGTCACACGCCGAGTGTAAATTTATTTCAAAGTGTATAAATATTTTTTTTCCTCTTCCCAGCCCGCAGTTATTGTGCACCTCTGTTCACTTCCGCCCAATGGCCGCTCCATCCGGGATCTGCGCGGAGGGACTGACGCCACATGGACCGGGTGGCCACGCGGAGGTGATCAAACTGAGAAAATTGGAAAAAAGCTATCACTTAATAAATGTCTTGTTTATCTTAGTAAATAATTTCATATTTGTTCTTCCTTCTAATAATTGGCTAAAGAAATGTAAAGTGTAGTATATTAAGTTAGGCTACTAAATGAGAGGGCTGTACATATTTTGTCAAGTTATTTTACCTATAATTACATATTTATCTTAATAGTATACATATGTCTGTTATAAATTATTTAAAATGATAATAAAAACTAAAAATATAGATTATGCTTTTATGTAATGAAAACCAGGGGCGGCTCTAGAAAATATTTTTTAGGGTGGCAAAGGGGTGGCATGGTTAGTTGGTTAGGTTAGCATGCATAGATAGGTTAGTATGCATAGTTTTTGGGGATTTATGGTCTGACATACACAGTTGTGTTCACAAATATTGTATTACCATTAAGTAATCATCTATACTGTTTAAAATGAAAAATAAATAACCAATTTCAATATCCATCATGGTACCAAGTCAATGCACAATATAAAAAACTTCAACAGGTTATAAATGTTTCTGAGCTTATATCACTAAAGAAGACATGCGGTATCTATTAAAATTGCATAGGCTACTTAGATGGTATAATCACGTTTAGTGCAAGTTTAAGAGCAACAAAACCTTTTTAATTTCCTAACATTAGAAAGAAATACAATAATACCAAAGCACTGAAACTGGATACATTTTGAAAACAATGTTTGATTTTCTGTTATTAACAGAGGTGGGAATGTCTGTAATCACCCAGAACGAATTCTAGCAACCATATACTCTAGCAACACCCCAGCAACTGCATAGCAAGAGCCTAGCAACCACCCAGAATATCCTAGCAACCAACTAGCAACACTTTAGCAAACATCTAACTGACCAAACCATTTACGTTTTTTAAACAAGACTTTAAGACAAGGCATAAATTTGTCTTTCAAACTTTTCAATCTAGCTATTAGTTTTTCTTACAGGTTTTTTTCAACTGCTTACACACATTTTCAAAACTTTACACACAAATCCAAGAATTGCACACACAAAATGCCTCACATCTCTTGCCAAATGAAGCACTGCATTCAAAATATCAGAAACACATCTCAAATGCAAACATTTGCAAACACCTTTGCCATAATATTAATTCCTTTTTTTCAGAAATGTTAAAAATGATAGTATGCATAAAGAAATCCACTGAAGAGATAGATCACGATCATATACTCACCCTCATGTTGTTCCAAACCTGTGTGACGCTTGAAGAGCTTTGGGAACCAAACACTGGCACACTGGAGCTTAAAGACCGTCAAAAAAAACAGAAAACATTTCTCAAAATATATTCTTTGGTGTTGCACAGATGAAAGTGTCTTGTTTTCATTTCATGGATATACTATTATAGGTTTTATTCATATTTTTATTTTATTTATTTCCACTGATAGAAATGGTTTGAGGAAAAAAAGTGCCAACTAAAATCCGTATATTAACAATCGAGAAAACTACACCTAGATTCTTACCTAACTCTGCTATTAGTTTCCGTGATCGGCATCTTCTTATTGATTTCATTTTATTGTTACGGCTTATATCCATGATGAAAGTAAAGCGAGAGAATCGGATCACCAAACAATTACGCGATGAATCTCAGACCTATCCGGACGGGATTAGATTTCTCAGAGGACTTCTGAATTACCTGAAAAGCAGTAATGATCTGATTCACGAACAAATGTAACAATTCGTTGGTGAACTGGGCCGCACTTTGTGGTTTTGACTCAAAAAGATCCGGTTATTTGATCCGAGTCATTTGTTAATGAAGCCGACCTCACTGGCTCGCCGCGGCTAGCACATGAAACATTGCTTACATTTATATTTTATTCTGTGATAATTCTGGGGGGGCACATCTTTTTTTTAGGGTGGTAGTTGCCACCCCGTGCCACCCGGTAGATCCGCCCCTGATGAAAACTATCTGATTCCTCTACTTGATCATAGAAATACTCCACCTTCATTCAATCATCATTCACCAAAGTAGGCTGACATATGTTTGTCAGAAGACCTGTCACAGTAGTTTATTAGCCTATATTGAATGGTTTTGTGTTTAATTTAGACAAAAAGAAGTGGCTATCACAAACCATCCTGTATAGATAATAAAATATTTAAAACATTATACTTTTTAATGAATACTATAATGGAGTTTTAGCTGGTTCTTTCCTTTGGTTACTTTTCGTATATCCATAAATATGTGCAAAATTTCCTAAAAACATACAGATGAATATATAAATTGCACACCAGATGTTGACCAGCTTGATTACTAGTGTTTTTCTTCAAGCTGTATTAAACCATTTGCCTGGGAAAAATATTTTTATTATTATTTTTTTTAAAAAGCCTGTAATTTAGTTTTATTATAAACCATGCCACCACTTACTTTTATAATTTACATTTTCACTGTTAAAAGAATGTCATTGACAAGCACTGAGCACTCTTGTGTCAGCTAAACCTCATGCTGATAAAGGGCATTCAGGGTAGCTAATTGATATTTAGATCTAGCTATTGATCTTAGTCAGAGATGGGTGGGATGATGGGGGTCTTTAATAAGTTTGCAATAGGGGACTGGAACACTGCAGGGAGCAGCTCTGTTTCAACATAACACCCATTTCACAGATGATGCAAGATAATACAAGAGCTTCGCTGATGAGATACTTTTGTGGAATTTCCTAAAGTTTAAATATATGTTTTCAGATTGAAATTGATTCAAAATAGAGGGAACATGTTGGATTTGGATTCTGATGGCTTATGTTGTCCACAGGATAATAACATATTGTATCACATAGCACATAGTGATGCCATACATAATAATCCATAATAAATAATTATTTATTAAGATCATTAGCATGCAGCCTAATACTTTTTAAAATTTGGTATGTAGGCTACAACGAACCGTTGCCATTAACAGATTCAACTTGCGTTTTTCTAATTTTAACCACTAGGTGTCAGTGTAATGTGAGTCAAGTGGGGAACTTCCTCGATAACATATCAAAAGGAGACCCTAAGTGTCTTTTTTCTATAAACTGAGGTGTTTTTCGAATCAAATATTTATTAAGATATGCACAACATTTATAATTTAACAAAAGAAAAGATGATATGACTCACTACAGTCGGCATTTAAAATACAGTGTTAAGTAAATGCTGCATTATATACATTTACAAAATGAGATTTGATGTTCCGTATGTGTTACAACATTTCTGTTTTCTTTGGGCCATTAAGACACAGACTAGCACACGCAGGTATTACAGGTATTATATCCTATATACACTCACACAAATATGGCTTGTGTTACTGATAGTAAAATAGACAGATGATCATTAAACATTTAACAGCATTTTGCTGTGTAATGACACAAGTGCATGTGGAGCAATTCATTCTTCTTCATTTAATCGCCACTATTAATCCATTAAACTGAAAGAGATCTTTACAATGTACAAAATATACCATTTGACCTGTAAAATTAGAACGGTGGGTAAAACTGTTTATGCAGAAGAATCATATCATGAAAATAAAATAAATATGTATTCATAAAAGAATGTGAGGTTCATTGCTGTATCATTTGGCTTTGGATGAATAGTTACAGATGCCTTGTGACTTGTTTCT